CCAAATTGTGTTGTCTCATACTTCACAAAAGAACTTGAGATTTGGTTGCATTTTGCTCAAAATAGCTAGTTCTTGCACCTTGCCAGTTGAAAGACTGCCACATTTTAATGCAGGTGAAAGGTTTTCTGCTTCCTCAGTTTTGTAGATGGCTGAAGTTCTTAAGGTGGATTCTTAGCTTGGAAAACTTCAGTTGAGATAGTGGATGACCGAATTAAAAGTGTTCTGAGGAGGCAAATCAGAGGGAAATCAGTTGCTTTGTGTTAAAAGTTGGGTACTTTGTATTCCAAAAAATGATGATATATATATACATACATGACTTCTAATGCCCAGAATAAACATCATGTATGCTATGGAAAATGAAGTTACAGAGCATTTTATGGCCTGTGTGTTGGCATCATTTCATTGAAAAATTGGTCGCTTCTGTGGTGACGCACTTGTTAAAATGTGTGGGCGGCCATAATGGCCCAGGACAGGAAGGGAACTGAAACTTGGTGGAATAAAGCTTTCCTTGTTTCCAGCTTTGTTAGCTGAATCTAGGGCTGAGACACAACAGGAGGACTGATGTCAGTCATGCTCACTTGAACATGCCATGAGATATTTTAATAAGCTCTGCAGCCCTAATTTCTAGCCTGTGTCTCACCTTTATGTAAGACTTTAGGAATTCCTTGCTGAGGTGCTGGTGCTGTGCTGGCTTAGAGGTAAAAATATGAGCAAGTCCCTAAACATTGAATTATTCCCTTCCCTTGTCGATGAAAACAGAAAACCTCTCCAGACACCTTTTCGTTCAGAGCATTCCTCTTGCCAGGATGAGCATGAATCAGAAGAACGTAGGTAAAAATCTGAGAATGTGTTCAGTAGCTCAACAGAGATCCATGCTTTGCAGTAGATGTGCTGGAGTCTGTATTAAACCTTTTTGAAAAAAAGAAAATGAAAGTGGAAGTCTAGACGCTTGAAATGCTGCCACGTGACTATATTTAGTAAAGAGTTTTCTTAGCTTCAAGGGTATGGTAGAGTTAAATAATTCTTGTGGCCATGAAAGCCACCAGTTGGTTATGAATGAATGCCAGAGAAAGGAGATACATATGGCAGCTGTTTTTCTGTTTATTAAACTAGATATCTTTCTTGAGTCTTGAAATAGAATGACCCAGAAATTATATATTCAATAACAAACCTGTTATGTAGTAACCTATTCGGGCAGAAGAGGGCCGATTGTTCTATTTTTAAACAAGTTCTAGGCTTACATAGGAAGTGTGAAGCAGTAAGGATGGTAATGCTGAAGACCATGACCCTGTTGTAAATGCTCATCCTGATGGCTCCAGCGATGGTCTGACTTGGAAGAGTGTGTGCAGAAGAAGATTTAAGTCCCCTGAGTGGCTTGATTAATGATGTGTAGAACAAAAAGATAGATTTTTATTTAGCCACAAGCTTAAACGCAAAGCAATGTGTAGGTTTGTGCAGTGGACAAGGGCAGCCCCTGTTGTTTGGTGGTTTTATTTTCACGTGCAATACAATTTTCTCTACTCCCTAAAAAAAAAACCAAAAACAACAACTTGAGCATAAACGGTTAAAGAGAAAGAAATTAATAAAATACAATGTGACTCTAATTGCACAGGCAGTTTGTGTAGTGCAGTTTGGAATCTGATCCATCGTATTTGATGTAGAGATGTAAATTTTGAACAGTTAAAAAGCGTATGTACCAAGTTAGTTGGCACTGTCCAAACAATTCGTTTTGGTTTTGTATTTGGGAAGACCAGTTTTCCTCTCTCGATTTCCATCCTGCTGTGTAGATTGTATCAGGAACTAATTTAAAGTACATTAGTAAAATTTACACTCAGTTGTGTGATGCAGAAGCATGCATATGGTTGTCATCAAATGGTAGCACAGACCAGAGCTTCAAAAAAGTTTGGAATTTGTTGTGGCTCCCAGTGTGACAGAGCTGGATTTGACTTTTTTTTGGGTGGACCGTAACACGCTGTTGAGGTGCTGATGTGCCATACATGACTTACTCCGCTCTGTGCATCTTCACTCACAAATGTCTTTAATCATAAACCAGAAGTTCTACTCTTCTAATGTTTTGTAGCTTAACGGTTAGGCTGAGGTTTTTGTGCAGTTACACCAATTACTGTCTGCGTGTCATGCTTCTGATGAAGAAACACTTCAGTTTATAATATGGATTTTTGGAATACTTCATGAGTACTTGGACAGTAAACATACTCATCTTGCTTATAGCAATGGGATGGGAAAGCGTCAGATATCTTGCTACATGTATTTATCTGAAATCTCATAGATTGTTCTCTCCCAGTTGAATAAATCACTTGATCTTACATACACTTCTGTTACATCTTTCAAAGCTACAGAGAATAGTCTGTCACATCTGAAATCCTGGTAGCAGTCCAAAAATATCCATGCAGCCAGCTGTTTTCAGCTCTTGAGGCAATACATTTTTTTCAACATCAGTGAGATTTGTAGGTAGTATCCACAGTGGCAGCGGTGTGTATGTTTGTACGTGAAAACAAAAAGTGTATCTCCCTATATCTTCTTCTATATGTGTGTGTGTATATGTATTAAATATAAATATGCACACATAGGTACAGGTATTAGGGCACAAGCTTTGAAGCAAACCTGTCAGAATTCTGTTTCCGTATCAGTCAGCAGATGAATTCAGAAGAAGGTGGTGTTTTTAGCTTTCGTGTTTGTATTTTCTGTAATGTCTGCCTGACTCAGCAGGTGATGGGGATGTGTGGAAGGAGGAAGGAGGGCTGCAGTTCCTTCTCTATCTGTGAGTTTAAGAAATCGCTGCTAGCCGTGTGGAGTAATTGCTATGCCTTGCTCCCTTCTAGGCATGTATGCCAAGATAAAGGATTTAACTGCAGTCCTGGTTTCCACTCCCTTAATTTAGGATAAGAATTGAATAATGTAGGATGACGTTTGTGCCAAGCTTCTGCAAATCTTGTGTGGTACTTGAGAAAGTATGTCTTCATGACCCAAGCATTAGGCTTGTGATTCCAGCAAGATTAAGAATTGCAGTTGCTGATGCTGGTAGTGCTAGCTTCACTTTTTCAACTTCGGGAGAAATCTGCAGGGAAGATATGATGGTGTAGGAGGAGTTGTTAGCTGTTGTTGTGCACTGTCTGTTCTGCATGGGAATTTTGGCAGCGGGCTGTGCCATGTATCAAGTCCTGCCTTGCTCATTACAGGACCATCCTTTTTGCTCATTCCTCCCTTTTCTCTCCTTTAGAAAATCTATTTTCTGTATAGAACTTTTAATGAATTTCAGGAAATGCTTTGAGACAAAAGCATGGCTTGCTGCTAATTAAACTAACAGTGGGTTCTGACAGTTAGGTGGATGGTGTGCTTCACAAAACTAGAAATTTTTCATTTAAAAAAAAATAATCTGGAAAAGCACCAAAGCATTCTTCTGTTGTACCCTAGCAGTGCTGATTGTGGTTTATTTTTTTTTAATTCTGAAAAATGTAGACTTACTGGAAACATCTTTGGCAGTAAATCTTATTCTATTAGACTGATCCAGTCTGTGTTATCATCTGTAACTGCTATATGTATTTCTTTTAAGCTAAACTTTTTTGTAAAGGTAGTGGGAACTAGCTGTTAAGATCAGATGTTTATCCTAATGCTCTCTAGAACTATGTCAGTGCTGCTTCTAGATTGAGAATTAATTGCTTTATAGGGTCACGACAGAAAGACTGAGAACTAAATGGATGGGGAAATTTGTTCTACTTCTCACCCACAAGATACATATTCTAGGGTACGATTGTCCTGCTGATGAAGCTTTTTAGCACAAGCACAGTGATTCCCGTGACACTTTATGGGGAAATACTAGTCTCTACTCAGGAACTGTAGGAAGCAGCCACATACACGCAAATACTCAATGTTGAAAGACTTAAAATACTGCGTCATGCCTGGTTTGGCAGTGCTGCTGCTTGGAGGAAAGGGCCACCGGCAGTGCCTGCAGTGGGAGGTGTCCTACAACGCCTTGCTGATCTGCTTGTACTGTAGCCTTGATCACAGGGTTTTGTAACAAAATCCAACATGATGAGTAATTGTGATTTTGCACTTTGTCTCGTTCCTCTGTTTCGTACTGCTTGTTTCTGAGAAGTGAGGGAAGAGAGCGGAACACATTGTTTTCAGGTATAAAGCTCGTTGTATTCTGCAAAACAGGATGTCTCCAGACTCCCTCCAAGACCTGTTTTATAGGGGAAAGGTAAATAAACTGGGTACTCGGATGGTCCCTGATGAATGATGCAAGCATTTCTCTGAGTGTGCTTTTCCAGTGGAACAGATCTTTTCTTCCAGCAGTGCTGGTGAAGCTGGTAACTGGGGCCTGGATATAAATAATCTGAGTATTGGTACACTGGGGGATCGACATCTGTGTAAGGGGGGCGAAGCAAATGTTCACGAGGGAGAAAATTTTCATCGTTTTATGTGTAAAGCCACTTTATTGTCTGGTAAGTGGCTTGGTTTTATTTGAGATAGTTAATAAGCAGTTGGTTCCTATGTTAGCCACACATCAAACCTAGTCTATGTTCAGTGGTTAAATAGTGTTAGCCCAGAGAGGGAAAGTAATTTGATGTTCTCTTAGCATGTTGAACATGCTGTATTTATCTAATTGTGCATTCAGTTTAGGTTTCATTTCAGGCTGTAGTGGGCGTTTGAGTCATCACTCTCCGTAGTTTGATCCTATTTGCCAGATTTCAGGAAGTCTTGCATCCAACTTGAAGGAATGTATGTAAGCCCTGAATAGAAATGCTAGGAATAGGAAATTCAACCAAATCTTTCCTGGATAAACTGCTTTTAAAGTAATATTCCTAAAAACCTTTGCTTCATTCCAGGAACAAAGAAGAAAATACAATAATGAGGAGGGATCAGCTTAGCTTCCATCCTCTGGCTTGTAAACTGGTTTTTTGAAGGTTGTAATGCTTCTCCCTTAGCGTGTTTTTCAGCCTTGGCTTTAATATTAAAGCTCACTGTTCTCTCTTCCACAGTATTTGATTCTGAAACTTGAAAGACCTGCCATAGTCCAGAGTATCACATTTGGCAAATACGAGAAAACGCATGTCTGCAACTTAAAGAAGTTTAAAGTCTTTGGTGGGATGAATGAGGAAAACATGACAGATCTCTTATCCAGGTAAGATGTGATTTCATCAGCTACGGTGATCATAAAGGCTGGACCAAAATGCTCTTCCCCTCTGCTCCCAAGCAAACATATGGCTAACAGAGCTGTGGCTGTGATCCTGCAATTAGCTGCCCTTGTGTTTACGGTCAGGTTAAAGAGCAGCAATCCCAACAGTCGCTCCAGGAAGCCTTCCTTATTCTGCTCTAACCACAGAGGGTTTGTGGAGAGCAAATTCCTGGAGATTTGGAAGAGCTGAGAGCAGGGTGCAGTGTTGCTGGATTGCGATTCCTTTCTTCTGTGTGCTTGAGGCACAAGGGAAATGATTTGCCCATGTGTGGGTAACTTAAAGTAGCTTTTAAAAGCCCAAGTCACCTGCCTATGTCAAGAACCTTGTTGCAGCTGTAAAGCTGTGAACGAGTCAGCTGCTCTGCCTTTTCTCAAACGGATAAATAAATCAAATAAGCAAATACAAAACCCGTGTTTTCCTTTGTTTAGTTCGATTTGGTAGTTGTACTGATAGGGACTAAAGAAAGAGCCTTTTGGCTGTTCAAGCTATCTAGAGCTTCTGAGTAGTTGCTAATGTAAATTTGTAAGGGCCTTTTAAGGAGTTGTCTGGTTCAGAAAGGGAAATGATATTTAAATATCTAGGAGTACAAGAGAAATGAGTAGCAAGAACTAGTCTATTTTTGGAGGCCTACAGAAGGAAGGTCTACCTCCGGGGAACGTATGGGTATACCTCATCCGTAGTCAAGCAGAATAGCCATGGAGGAACACGGGAGGTTCTGTTGCATGTGTCCTTCAAGACCGTATAGAAACTGGCCTCAGCCCTTCCCACCCTTTTGCCCCCTTCAGATAGACCAGTCTTGCAATTGACTTTATTGCTACTAGAATTACAGGGGAAGAGATTTTTAGCATAATAATTATTGATATCCAATGTCATTTCACTTGTACTGAAGTTTAATAAAAATTCTTATTTTGGGACCTGTACTTGCATCTTCAGTAAAAACTGACTTAAGATTTTTGATAAATTATACTAAATATTTGATATTGTTATAAAGTAATGCCCATAAATGGATCATAAAGCACTTCAGCACTGTGATAATTCTGAGAGCTGGTCCATCTCCCTCTTGAAAATGGAAGAGTGCGGTTCAGGCAGATCAGTTGCTGAAATCCCAGGGTTACAGGCGCAGACAAGCAGCACTGATCCAATGTCAGTTCCCTCCTGAAACCAGTGCTGCCTCCCAGGGTGATACAACATGGTGGATAGCAGTCCAGGCATTGGTCCAGCATGCGTACTTATGGTTCATAGTAATATGAAACAAGCTTCGCATTTCAGGCATGACCTAGATTGCGTTTATTAGCTAGTCCTAAAATACAAGGTAAGATTTAGTAACCTTATTTATTTTTTCCCACAGTGGCTTAAAGAATGATTATAACAAAGAAACATTCACCTTGAAGCATAAAATTGATGAACAGATGTTCCCCTGTCGATTCATTAAGATAGGTAAATGCATTTTTTCAGCATTCTGAGTAGAAAATAATCTCTTATACTCGTGCCAGTCTTGGCACTTGTGACTTCATTGTACTCAGGCAAAGTATCCACAACAGCTATTCCATTTCATGATCTTTTAGGCTGGTTAGATTGGAACACAGTGAAGTCCTGTTACTAAGAAATAATAGCTTCATAAGTTAAATCTTGGGGAATGAAAGTGAAATACAGTAATTTTCAGAAATAGTTGTTGAGTCAACTAATTGCTGGAGAAGCTGCTTACTGTCCTACTATAAATTGCTATATAGAGCTTTAAAAAAAAAATCATTAAGCTAAATGCTGGTAAAAGTTTCAACATTAACAACCCTGGAGTTTGAAAAGAATTTTGAAGTCTTGTTCTCGAACATGCTTGCAACACATAGAGCAGCAGCATAAGCCTTTCTTGTTTTCTTCCTGCTACTCTAATCATTATGTCTGTGAGGACGGGCTGAGAGAGTTGGTGTTCAGCCTGGGGAAGAGAAGGCTCTGGGGAGACCTTAGAGCGGCCTCGCAGTACTTAAAGGGGGCTACAGGAAAGGTGGGGAGGGACTTTTTACATGGGCATGTAGGGATGGGATGAGGGGTAATGGTTTTAAACTGGAAGAGGGTAGATTTAGTGAGACACTGGCACAGGCTGCCCAGAGAAGCTGTGGCTGCCGCCTCCCTGGCAGCGTTCAAGGCCAGGTTGGACGGGGCTTTGGGCTACCTGGGCTAGTGGAAGGTGTCCCTGCTCCTGGCACGGGGGTTGGGACTAGATGGTCTTTAAAGTCCCTTCCAACCCAAACCATTCTGTGATCTCCGGCTAAAGATGACAACCAGGGGCAAAGCAGAGTTACTCCTGGTGATGTCTAGTCTTGTTTCTCTGGTGAAGCTTGGTAACGGGGGTGCTGACAAAGGCTGGTTATTGTGACTTGTGAGGGAGCAGGTGGGGATCTCTCTGCCTTGCTTCGTGCCGGCCAGAGAGAACAAGTGTCTTAAAGTGGCCATCAGTGTTAGGGGTTGGATTTAAGCCAAGAATTTAGAGCCTTTCAGCTTTACGTAGCTCAGTAAATTTATCTTCCCCTTCCTACCTACTGAGAAAGTGAAAGAATGACTGGTTTTAAACTAACTGGTTAAGGTTAAAAATAGAGCAAGGAGGTAGTTGCAGAAAATTGACATAAGAGCCTGTTGTCTAATTTAGATGGATTTAAGAGTGTTTTGAAGTGTTGGGTAATTCCTTTGCCCAGACTTGGATGATAGTGGCTGCACAGGGGCTCCCCTCAGAGCCCTTTGCTCTTGTGTCTACACAGCTTTCTGAATCTCCTCTCATGCTTGCCTGAGGAATTGAAAGCCTCAGGCTGGGAATCAAGTAATCATTTGTGTGCCATAAACGGTGGTGTTTCCCTTTCCTAGAGAAGTGGAGAAATTGGTTGTTCGTTGGATTTGTTTTTGGCTACATCTTTTGAAAGCATCTGTAACACTTGGCTTTAGGAAGCCTCAAGAGGACCTGAGGAATAGTTAAAGGTTGACTACATCAGGAAAGCTAAATTGCTTTTTGTTTTTTGTTTTTTTTTTCCAAATCGTATTCTGAAGCTTCCTGCGTTAGGTTTTTGGGAAATGTTATTTTTCAGTGGCTAAAAAGCATCAAGAAGTTGCTGGAGGGCTAAAGGGCTGAATGGAAAGATTACAAGCTACTTCTCTGGATTTATAAATTGTGGTGTGTTCTGATGTTATGAACTGTAACTGTAAGTTGAAACTTGTTAGGAAAGCACGATGCTGCTTAATTTCTACTATCAGGATTTTTTCTCTTGACATGACATGAGTAGTATTAATGGCTACATGGCTTGTTTTGTTGGGATGGGTTCCTCATGGAGCAGTAAGCATTCAGCGTTATATGTATTAATACTAGATTTGTATTTAACTGTCACTTGCTCACTAGTTACGGCTTGAGTTCTCCTGTTTAGCTATATCTATAGACTTTCATGTCTTGAAGCTATCTTCTATGAAGGAATTCCTGTGCTAGGACAGAAACTAGAATGATCTTTTCACCAAAACCCATTAAATCCTCCAGTTGATGGCTAGCTTAATTTTGTTTATGAAGTTGTGAGAGTGGTGTTTTGCTGTGAAACAACTGCAAAACGATGTTACGAAATTCTGTTATTTTTCAGATTCACAGCTTGAATATGTTTTCAGTTTGTTAAAATTTCCAAGCTGCTAGCCAAAGTAACTCAAAATTCGAAATACCGTGCTGTGTTCCTTGTAATGCTGCCAGTAAACATGAGGCCAAAATCTGCCCTTTTGGACTTTTAGAGACCGACACCACAAAAGTTACTGCTATCGGTGAGGTCTGTGTATTTGGGGAAGGCGTTAGTTCGGCAGCGATTTGCATCAAGCATTAGCTTTATAATTCTGCAGATAAGTATAATGATCTATACACCACTGTTAATGACACAACAGTGAGGTTTATATGGTGAGACAGAAGGAACGTGACATGGGTAGATCTGTGAGAGGGGAAAACACTTCCTACAACTTCCATTGCTCACGTATTAGAGGAAGTTTCAGACTCATAGAAAGCAGAAAAAAATAACTTCTCCTTTTGTCAAGAAAAGACTTGCACTTCTTTTAATTAGTTCAGCTTAAGTTCCTTAGCACTGAAGTGCCCAGTTGTGCAGGCTTTTGACCTACTTGACAACTAATTTTTACATCTCATGTAGCACCTCATTAAAGAACTTGGAAGGGGGAAGAAAGTATTTATCTGGACAAAATATCAATAATCTCTTTAATGTCTGTGAGCTTTGTTTCTGGCTCTATTTTTGTGGTTACTCAGAACAGAGATTATTCTTTGTACGGTGTCCTTGAAAGCAGAAGGTGTTGTAAAGACTGATTGCCATGAAAGAGTCTGAAGAAATGCTGGGTGTAATTCTCATGCCGGTTTGTATACTCGCATGGGAGTTACTAACTAGGCTTCAAGATGTTTAAGCTTTGGTGTGATAGAAATGAGCAATACTTTCTTTATGGATGTTTCTTGCCTGTTTACAAATGTATGCCGTTTGTGTGTCTACTGCCTGAGGGACACGGAAATTAGTTTGAGAGAGGTATTTGCAATTATTATACCGTGTTTAATGTCCCTCCTACTGTCCTCTGTAGTATATGTGGTTGCGGTCCTTGTCTAGGCATAGCTTCTGATTATTGAGAAATATCCTCTAAAATCATCCTAGTTTGAATAAAGAACTGTTTTAAGTGACCTAAATACCTTCTGCTTCTGTTAAAGGGATATTGATTTTTTTATTATTATTTTTTTCCACTTCTGGGCTCCTCTTGCTGTGGAGTGACAGTTCAACTGGTCTGGACAGTTAATATGTGTTTCAGGATATACATGTATCAAAAAAACCATGCTGAACTTGGTTTTATGGTAAGAACTGGATGAGTACTGTAGCTTTAGGCTTCAGATTCAACACCTTTAAACGTAGTGTATTTCCACCTCAAAGATGTGTGCGTGGGGAAAAAAGCAACATAGCAAAGAGTAGATGGCATAAGGTATGGCCTCTGTGAATGTACTGCAAGATAGGGTGTACACTGATTTTTGGAGGGGGACATTTCTCAGCTCTTGCAGAGGCTGTAGTAGGTTTGTGTTTGCCTAGGCTGTGGTGTGAAATCTGAAGTGGGTGAAGAGGAGGACAAATAAAAACCAGCTGTTGGGAGATCTGAGAAGAGAGAGTTGCACCCAGAGTCCTAGACTGCTGCTACCACCAAACTTTGTGCAAAAATAAAAAGAGATCTGTGTGTCACACTGATAAGTAATGCTTATCACCGTTTGTGTGACTGTCGCTACTTCCATGCTGCACTTAGCATCTCCTTGTTCCAGGTCTAAGTTAGATTGTGGCTGCTCTACAATGAGATTTGTCTAAAGAGCCAGGTGCAGCTTTGAAGGCTTCAAAAATGAGAGAGCGGCAGAAAGAATGAGAGGCATCTCCTTCCTGTAGTCTGGGAGCCAGTGAAGAGATTCAGAAATGGGGAGGTGATCCAGCAGAACACTTGGTCTTTGCCAAGGCAATAGAAATCATATTACAGTTTAAACTCTTACTCTTTGTTTCTTTTCATACTCCTGTGTGTTTAAAAAGATGAAATTCAGTTTTCTCTGCCTGCGCAGCACTGCATTCCCTACACAATGTCTGTGTTTTCCTTAAAGTAGATGATTGTACCGTGAAAATCTTGATGTTTAGATCACCATTTGTGGTATTTTGTTTTCTTCATGTAAGCAAGACTGTTGAACGTTCTGAGTTAACTTGGGGAGGAGAGAAGTGTTAGCAAGTTGATGGCTGTGTATTTTTTTCTGGTGATAACTACCCAGGATTCTTAGCATGTCCTGATAAGTCTTTCAGGCTGTAGTTGGCTACCAAGATAAGAGGGTGAATTGTTAGATTTTTTTCCAGCAGAAGTTGGTGTACGTTCTGAGCAGAACTGCTGAAAAGAAACAGAGGTGGACATCCCTGTTGTTTTTTTCGGGAATGAGGTGGGAAGGTGGTAATACTTATGTTTGGTTTTTCACCCAGTAAGCTCGGTGTTATGAAGTTGGCCTCGGATTCACAATCAGGAAACTTACAGTCTTGGTCCATTTGAGGTAGTCTGTGGTTTGGTTCAGTGTTTAGATGCAATAAACTGATGGATAGACTTTGATTCTTTATAGCTGATCAAATACCTAATATAACTTCGGTTTGATCTTGGTCTGTGTGTTCAGGTCTGAAGACAGATCAAAGGTGTTACCCTTACATGTAGAATTTTGTTAGTCTCATGCCTTAATAAGTGGGATATCTGGAATTTGTGTACTTGGATTTAAAAGTAGTAATGTTTTATGGTATTAAGGTACCATAAAATTAAGATTAATCTCATCTTGTGCAGAGGACAAAACTAAGCAAACAAAGTTTCTTGGGCAGAGCATATGCGGTGTGGATGGAAGACAGGTGACTCTTGTTTTTTCTGTCCAGTTCACTTCTCTCCTGTCTCTACAAACACACACCTACTAGGAACTGCTCTGAAAGCATCTTGTTTTGTATGCTGAACAATTAGGTAGAAAGAAACTGTTTGAACAGGATGATTAGAGATCTGTAACATGTAACATATCTCCTTATGGATATTAAAATCAGTTAAGAATTGCATATTCAAAGTCTCTTTGGATCTTTTCTAAAAATCACTTTTCTTCATGACTGTTCCCAGAAGTTGTCATCAGCCTTTAGCAATAGGTTTGGAGAAACACCCTTTAAAATTTAGAAAAATCATGTGTTTGAACATATGCTTTGTGCCCAAACACATTGCAGAAAAATAATAGATCGATCTTGTTTGAAGTATAAATACTTAAGAACCTTTAAGAGCTCAGGAACAGCTTTAAGACAAATTCTGTTTTTTATTACCTCAAGGAGTAGGTCAGAAAACCCTTAGTTCAACAAGTTAATCTCAGTGGTATTTCATAGTGGTTTGAAAGACAACAAACAATTTCTCTGTGGCAAAAATAGTTTCTGTGGCAGGGGGGGAAGTAGTGGACTCCATGCTGTTGCTGGTGTCTTCCTCATTCATCTCTAATACTATCTTTTCCTGTTTATCACTTATGGTCAAATAAAAAGGAAACAAAAATATATTAAATGAAATCACTTTATTTCACTGCAGTTTTAAGGAGTCAGAGTTCATGCAAAAGTTTTCCGGGAGTTGGAGCTGCTTCAAAAACCAGAACCAAGTCTTAACTGCAGGTTAATCAATAGATCAGTGCAAGACACAGACTGGTAGAGAAACCTTAGGTGAGAGGCTGCAGTGTCTTTTAGTATTTTAAGACTGTTTGTTCCAATATACAGATAAAACAGTGTTAGCCAAAAAAACTGCACAGATTTAAGTTTGTTTTTTTTTTAAAAAAAAAGGAAAGAGTTTTTAAATTGGAAACTGACAGTTTTCCCTCCCTCCCTCCTCCACAACTTGCAGACGTTACTAATTTTGTAAAATTTAAAATACCCAAGCTTCTTGTCTTCACCATTAGGGAAAATAATTGTTGCTGACAAATGTGGAAATAAATGTACTATGAGGAGCAAATACTGTCGCTAGTATGCTCGTGATTCCCATCCATGTCAAAGCTTGTTGCCTCTTTGAGCTGTTTTAAATGATAGTATTTTTGTTCTTTTGTTGAAAGCCAGCTTCTGCTTTGTAATGATCTGCTGTGTTAGTGTTGCTCGGCACAGTTTGCTTTAACGTGACAACTTTTACATTAACGTGCTTTAAATGACAACTTTAACGTGATGTATTTGGTAATTTTCCTAAGCTTACTTAAATGAACTAGAATTTATGTCAAATCAGAAATATGGAATTTTGTGTGACCTTTAAAAGCATTCTGTTGAAATAGTACTATGTTTAGCCTGATGAGACTAATGCACTGGTCGCTTGATGTTTATGCATCCTTTTCTCCTTTTCCTTTCTTCTCCAGTTCCACTCTTATCCTGGGGACCTAGCTTCAATTTTAGTATCTGGTATGTTGAACTTAATGGCATTGATGATCCAGATGTGGTCCAACCGTGCCTCAACTGGTACAGCAAGGTAGGCCTGCATTTTAGATGCCTGTTTGAAGACTTGCAGTCTCAGAATCTTGTGAAACTTCTCTTACTGGAATTACATGACCTTTTCATTCCTTGAATATCAGCTATTAAAACAACAAACACGCATAGTTAAAACTCAGAGCGCATGGCTGACTTCCACTCGAAGTGAATCTTTTCGAATTGTATCTGCTTTTTGTCTTGGAAAAAAACCCAAAACATAACAACCATAAAACACCCCCAAAAAATTCCAAAACCACCATCTCCAAAAAAAGCCCCTAACCTGCTAGGGAGAGATCACAAGAAAAACATAAAGGAAAGGAACACTGAGTCAAAGGGGACAATATTAGTAAAACAGTATTTGTATTGGAAGGGAAATGAATCTTAACAAAGCCAGATTCCGTTTTTCCCTCTTCTAGCTTTTTGATTAGTCATTCTTTACCATACCAGTCCTTCTGTAGACCTATATGTGAACCTAGAGCCTTTTGGGTTACATAAGGAACTTTTATTACAAGGTATAAAAATGAGCTTGTTTTAAAGAGAATCCATGTTGGTGTCATTCCTGTTGCAGCTCCTTATACTTCTAATGTTTCCCTCTTGCTGTCTTTTGCTGAATACTTTGGAGCAGAGGGGAGCTGATGCCACTGGACTGTGAGATGAGATGATTTATGCTGTTTGTCATGGTGATAGACAGAAAGTTCAAAGGGTTCTAAACATCATTTGTATAAACTGTATTTGAGTACAACACATGCCTCTCCTGTGGGAGGGAAGTGCACATCGACAACCAGAATTCATTTTGTTTCTGCTTTTTATGCATAGATCTTCTGGAACAATTAATGAAATTCATATTGTGTTGCAGAGAAGACATCCTTCCCAGCTGAATAAGACTAAGTAGTGGGGCAGCGTATCTCTGCTTCCAGAAGGAAAAACTTAAAAGGGTATAAGGATTGTGCTTGGTAGTACTGAGGCTCCCTCAGCAGTTTATGGTGCTGCCAGTGTGGTGAAGAAACCTTGTGGCCCTGCTGTCTGGCTCCTGTGCGTTTATACTAACATCACAAGCTTCTTCATGGAAGATTTAAAACCAGCACTAAGAGTCACAGTGGAAGTTGCCTGTGGCTGCTTTATGATTCAGGTGTTACTGCAGTCTTTAGTCTGCTGACTGCTTATGTCTGGTTCTGAAAAGTCCAGTTGATGGAGCCTGCTGATAGTTTTCTGTGTTTCTTTCTGCTGCCTCTGCCCGTGGTGGTGTTTCTGGCGTTTTTGACCACTTGCTGCAACCAGGAAGCTCTGATTTTTATTTTGTTTTGGTCAGGAGCCATCTGATGATGATGTCAGCATCTGTTTTGTTCCATCTTATCCCATGGAATCGACACTTTTAATGGTCAGCATGTATGTAGTGACAGCTTCTTCAAGGGGTGCCAGCATTGTTCTTCTAAAGCTTAAAGCCCTAAAGCAGCAAGGCAGAGACTTAGTCATGATTGTTTGGGCTCTACTAGGGTCAGTTGCCAAGTTTTTGGTGATGAGCACATGTCTCGCTGACGTCCTCCTCTCTCACAGTCCTGAGAGGCCACTGTTGCTGGATCCACATAGGAGGATATGTGTTGACCCATATTTGGGGAAAGGCAGAAAAGTTGACCTGTTTCTTCCAGTTCTTTCGAGATGGTGTGAATTTTTTTCATGCATGTTCTTGGAAGTCTCTAAGACTTTGAAATCTAATAATTCTTTATTGCCTGAGACATCGGATGAAATTGCCCATCCTTTTTGTTGTGTGTGCTCCAGCCAACAAAACCTCCCATTCCTGAAGGGAGTGGAGTTGAGAGTAACAGATAAGGACTCCAAGCAGCAAGCATGCTCCTCACTTCCCTCCCTACTGCTTTTTCCTTGCTGTCCAGCTCAACCTACTGCCTCCTGAAAGCCTTCCCACTTTGCTTTTATTGAAGAGTGGGCATGCTTCAGCGACGAAGAAGTGGCAGTTTATCAGTGGCTATCGCTGTTGGTTTTGATAATGAGTGCTTCAATATTTTAAATTCTAGTGTATTTGACAGCGTTAATACAGTCTCATGCTCTTGTTATGTTGTTAACCGTCGGAATTATTTACAGCTTCAGATCAAAGCTTATTATTTGGGTTGTCATTTCTTTAAACCTGTATGACAGCATTTAAAAAGGAGGCTTTTACATACTTTTTATACACTTTTTTTCATAAAAAAAAGTTTTTACATTTAACTTCCGAAGTGCTATTATGGTGTCACTTAAATACAAACTTTTATATTGCATTAAGTGGCCAACCTGTATTCAACAGGCCTTTCATGTTTCCATAAGCCAAGTCTATCAGTCACGAGAGACTCAATGGAAATACGCCAAGTCTGAATTTTGTCTGATGTCTAAACTAGAGGAGCTGAAAGTGCAGAAGCTGGTTATTACTGGTGCTCAGCTATCCTTTTGCTTGCTATCCCTTTGAGCAGCAAAGAATCTAATGTGGTTTTGGCCCTGACTGATGTAAGTGAACATTTGCTTAAAGACAGCGGCTTAGGTGTCTCTTAGGGGAAAAAAAGTTTTTTGTTTTTTTTTATTCTCCAGTTATTCTGTAAAACTCTGTTTTAGCTTTAGTATTCCTTTGCCACAGTCTTGCATTTTTATCGGTACGTGTCCTTGGCCTTTTTCATGTGGGCTGGGAACTGATTTTCTAAAAATGCGTAGTTCTGGCTATTTGCAGCTGTGAAATACTGATGGATTAAGAACTAAAAATATAGTACATGGCCGTGTTTCTTTTTAGCTGCTTCAGTTTGAGATTCTCGCTATAGAGCCATTATTTCAAGAACGCTAATTTTTGTTGAATGTCAGAGTTAGTTCCAGGTTTTCAAAAAAATTCTGTTTGTTTGAATACCATAAACTTCTCTTTTTAACGGTGGTGTCCGTTTAGGAGTAAAATCTGTTGTCTAATTTGATCAGTTTTATAGATGCTTAAAGTTACATTTGATTTTTACCACAGTAGATGTGTGGTAAAGATGGAAATTGAGATTTAATTTTTTTTTTCTTTAATGCCTTAGACTTTAGGTTTGAAGAGTCTATTTATAATAAGCCGTTCTGCTACTTATCAATTTAAAAATCTGTGTTACTTATGCATATTGTTAGCAGCTTTGAAAACGCAGTGGATGATTTGGTGGGTTAACAGCACAAGCTGTAGCTCTTACGCAGAGTTTACTATTCCCTCATGTTTCTGTGCCTGGGTGTTTGATCCAGTGTGGGTTTCTCTAGCTTTTCTCACCCCTTCCCACAGCTGAGTGGGAAATGGGCAGCTTTGCCTCACCTGTGGTATGAAAGCAGGGGTTCTGCTTCAAGATGCACGGGAGTATTTTGAAAGTAAAACTTTGGCGTGTGTGTAAATCCTTGCTGCCGTTGATCCGAAACCCTCACAAACCCACAGGATTTGGGCTCAGCCCAGCCTTCTGCCTTTCCATTGCAGGAGCAGTGGTCACTGCAAGTACTCCTATTCTCATAGTTTGTGTGGTTTTTTTTTTTTCTTCTGCTTCTAGAAAAGCTGTGACCTACTTACTCTTCTAAATTATTTTGTTATATAAGAGTCATACAATCAAATTATGTAACGCTGATAGCAAAGGCTTTTTCCTGCTCTGTACTTTGTGTAGGCCTCCAACAGCAGGGCCAAGCAGATGGGGGGAAATAATGGTCACTCCAGAGATCTGGGACACTGTGCACTCCCTTCTTGTATGCTTATTTAAATTGACTGATAGCAAGTTGTATAATTTCTATACTGTCGGAAAGTAAAACGTGTGCACAGCTTGTCATGATTTTCCTATAGTGTTCCCTTGCAAGCTCATGAGTAATTTATGTGCAGAGTATATAAGGGATCCTGCTGCTGTGTCCAGAAAGGTTCACAGGTAGTGCCCAGCAGTGGTAGTAAAAGAAAAATCTACATGTCTCATAGGTTTTCTTGTGTTCCAGTAGTACCGCGAACAGGAAGCCATTCGCCTTTGCCTAAAGCATTTTCGTCAGCACAACTACACCGAAGCTTTTGAGTCGCTGCAGAAGAAAACAAAGATTGCTCTGGAGCACCCCATGTTGACAGACCTTCATGACAAACTGGTATTGAAGGGGGACTTCGATGCTTGTGAAGAACTGATAGAAAAAGCTGTGAATGGTAAGAGAATTGGAGGGGTCTGGTATATTAATTTAAAACCCCCATTGGAACAGTACTGCTTTGAATGTTAATGTACTTAGTAGTAGAATTGGCTAGACCACTGTTTCATACCTCGTGTGGTGTACTGTCAGCTTTTGGGCTTGTGGGTATGCGTATGATGAAGGCTAAAAATTCAGTCATGAAATCTCTTACCACTGCTAGATACTTTTGGAGTCTCTTTCCCGCAGAGATGACTACGCGGTGCACTTGAGGGGGTAACGATAAGTTCTTGGAAGTGGCTGGCAAGCTGAAGGTGGGCTTGACTATCAGAAAAGTCACAGGAGTGGTGAGCAGGGAAGCATATAACTTGAGTTCTCAGTAGTGATCTGTATCATGGTGTCTGGTTAGAGCTTACCATCTAGTTGGAGTTTCAGCAGAAGTTTTCAGTTGTATTTGAATGAGAATTCTGTCTTTGCTTATGGGGAAAATACTCCCTGGAGAATGGTATAGAAGTCGTGGTGGAGGCAGAGCCTGTTTTCCCTTGTGGAGCAGGGTGTTGGCAGCCAGTTTCGTTTTAACTACTATTAATTTTTTACTTGGAAACTGTCAGTGTAGAAGCACTGTGTGTAAACAGCTCTTGGCTCCTAAAATGGGGGAGATGTACTGTCTGTTGATAGAATGGGATACAAAAAGAGTTGGGTGATTGCACTCAAGTGTCTCCTGAGACCTGTGCAGTGGTTTTGGATCACAGTCTGATAAAACAGAGGTGCTGGTGGCTGTGGGTGTAGTCAAGAAGCACTATGTGCAGACACTTTTTATGGGAAACTTGTACTAGCTGAAGAGAACCTTGTCTGATGCCAAGAGAGTTAGGGGCTTAGTGGACCAATTTCATGGATGTCTGACACCAGAGATGTTTTTTTCTAATTTTGGGTTAATCAGTCATTTTGTAATACCTTGTGGATAGATGCCAGCATACCTGCTTGACTACATCAGTGTGGTTTGTACCACTCAAGTTGGAAGTGGTTCTCAGGATGTGAATAGCAATGATAGCTTTAAAATCAGGGTTTGGCTTCCATGAAAATCCATCTTTTTGTGAAGAAGCTGTTCAACTAAGCACAATGTTAGGGAGCTTATTGCACTGGGTCATTTAAAAACTGCAGTGAATGGCTTTCCACGGGTTTTGGCTCAAGGTTTCTCGACTGTATAGAAAGAACAGCTGAGCTCTGCCCTGCGCTGAGCTCTGAGCAGCTCCAAGCCTTGAGACTGAGGGTTGCCAGCGTTCATCCTCACCCTCCTGAGTGTTTTCTGTCCTCCTGAGACAACGTAGTGTTGTTGGCCGGGATGGGAGCATGAACAGCTTCCTGCAATGCAGGGGCATTTTGCAACTGGCAGCTTCCTCCTGAATCTTAAGGGCAAGGGAGGGTTGCAGGATGAGAAAGCAGCAGGGAGCTGTGGCTGGCTGTTCCTGTCTTTGCAGTGTTTTTCAAAGACACGAGTGCCTGGCGGGAGCTGATGTGCCCACCAATACGAGACAGGATCTGCTGAGAGCCAGAGGAGTACAGTATGCTGTTGGTGATGATTTTATCAATGCATTGGTCTGCTGCCTTGGCTGTGGCTTACTCTCGTCAGTGCCTAGAGGCTGTCCTCTTTCCACTTCACTGCAGGCTGTAGTAGAAACTATTTCTTCAATGGAATTTCAGTAGAAGTCTAGAATGTGCTGAAAAACTTCCCTCAAAAATTGACTTTTTTTTTTTCTTGGGCACTAATGAAGTGAATGTTTGTACTCTTTTTTTAACTGTTAGATGTTAATTTCTCTTACTACTTAATATTTAACGTACTGAATTTATTCTAGCCAGCAGTTTTTGCCTAGAACTTGAGCTGATGTGGTGTTTCTGTTTCCGTCTATATGTTGAGAGTGGGTTGCTGCCTGTAGCGCTCAGCGTTTCCAGGTGTGGAGGTACTGGCAAGGGACTTGCCTGGTAGAAAACTGTAGGTCTTGCCTTGTACTGTCTGACAAATGGACACTTGCTTCTTGTCAGATTTGATGTAAACAATCTTGCTTCCTCGGTTCTTGTAATCATGTCCCTTTTTGGAGGCAGAGGAACTCAGCATCACTTAAACAAACTAGAGAAATACGCTGTAGCTTCTTTTATCAGTCTTTTGTTGTTCCAGCAAGTACAGAAGCAAGTATTTCTGGTAATAGACCGTGGATAACTTAGCAGGAGAGTCTTCAAGTAGCATCATTAAGTTTTATCACTGCTTCTGAGGGACAGAATAACATGTGTGAGGATATTTATGTTGGTTCCTTTTAATCCGGCACCTGACTAGCTGAAGTTAAATGTCAGTGTACACATCTCCCATTGCTCTGTTGCTCATCATTAATGGTTTTGCTTGTCTTTGAATACATTAACCTTCCTTCCCCCATCCTTCTGCAATTCTTTATGCTGTCTTCAGCTTTTGTACCCATTTAAAGCTCTGTTGCCTCGCAGCACCCTTCAGAGAGAAGTGCTATCCATCCTGACACACTAAGGTTGTATCCCATATTTGCTTTAAGCTGACACAACTGTGGGTTTTTGCTAACTGGGTCAATCCTGCCCTTACTCAGGACATTGTGTCCCCTGGCCCCTCGCTTGCTGGCACTGGTGCTGCCACATGGGAAACCAGGTCAGGGAGCTGATTGGGCTGTGCTGGGGGGAGAGGATAGGACAAACCTCTTCTGATACCTACAAAAAACCCGAAACTGCAGCTTGGAATAGTTTGTCCAGAGTTACACAAGATGACAGTCAAGTCAAGGTGTTGAATGTAGCTGGTATTTGACAGCTGGATCCTTCTTGGTAGGATGGGAATAGATGTTTTCAGCCTTCAACACGTTCTGCTATAGTATTGTTACCATCTGCTCCCCGTGGTCCTCCACCGTTACCTGTCCTTACTCAGTTCTGCATCTGTTTTGAGCTCCTCTGTTTGGAAGAGGTTTGTTAGCACCCAGCATTTTTCCATTTTACTTTCTTAGCAGCTTTGTTGTGAATTTCCATAGCTTGCTGCTTAGTCTCTAAGGTGTGGGTGTTCTTACGACTGAACTCCTCTCTGATGCGTTGTTTTTCCAAATAAAAGCAGATTAACTTTAGTCCTGTGTATGGTCCGTGTAGCGTAGTTGAAGTGTAGAGTTAATTGAGACATACAGATCCTTAAATTATCCCTGAAATTGTTCAAAGAGCGAACTGTTCTGTAACAGACTGGATATGAATATGTGAACTTCTGACCTCTTGCTGATCTCAGAGTTCATTACTTTAAAGGAACAAACAGGAGTGCAATGAAGTTGACAGAGATTGCACACTCAGTTCAGCCTAAAACATCTTCTGTAGAGGCTAATATTTGCAGTGGTAGGTATTGAACAAGTGAAATGCGATGCATCTCTTGCAGGGTATTTCCATAGACTTAGTCATGTAGAAAAAGAGTAGGTGGTCAAGAATTAGTGCTAGCAGAGCTAACTCTTGTTCTTTTGCATTGCTAATGATGAACGCTGTCTTCCACCTCACATCACCAGATGATTTCTTTTGAGAGCTCAGTGGCAGGCAGCCACACTTTTCCCGCAGATTCTTTTGACTTGTGCATTACACTTAGAAAACGGGCAAATGGAAACTCTGGCAGCTGCCTGACTTCCTCTCAAAAATAAAAGGTTCCCTAAATCTCAGCTGGTTCACAGACTTGGTTCAAATGCTTCACATTTGGATTCATTCCTATAGCTTTCAGACTGCCTATATTATTGAAGAAAAAAAATCTGCTTAATATTCCTACAGAGAGTATGCAGAGTGCAAATTACTTAGTTGAGCTGTTTGCAGCTACTGTAGACATAGAAAGCTGCATGAAATGGATTGAAGATCTGTTGGTTTCTTATTAGTATTCTGGGGACCGAGGTGCTCCTTTGACAGTTCTTGTGTCAGTATGTGATAAGTGTTTATCTGTTGACAAGTTGGCCCTGTATGACAAACAAGAAGTTGTGATACACTGACTGCAGGCTGAAATGGCTTCCAAAACTTGGGATGCACAGGAGCAGTTGTATTCTGGAAGCTCTAGACAGACATATATACCTTAATTTTACTATCAAATATGTTTGGATTTGGTTATGGGAAAGTATGGATGCTGGCTTGCTGCTCTGTAGTACTGGGATGTATGGAGGGGAGAGGCTTGCCAGGGCTTGCCAGGGATCCAGAGCCTCTAAGTACACGGTAGGGTTTGTATAGATGCAGGATATCTTGCGGGGATTTGGAAGCAAATCTCGTTTTGTTTTTGTTAAGAATAAAGTGCGAGAGAATATTGCAGCTTTGAAGCTGGAAGTAATTTGTGTGTTTCCTCATTGCTCCCATGTCTTAAGGAAACTGTCAGGTAGTGGCTGGATTTTTATCTGGTGTTGTCTTTTTCTGCTTCAGGTTTTCTTTAGAAGGATTTTTGTGACTACAAAAACCTCAATCCGTTTCGGTGTTTTGAGTATTTTTCTTCTGTTCAAGAAAAATCTTAAAACAACAAACCCCAACACCCATAAATTTTGGGCTAAATGCCACTCCGAAGTTTTTCAGCCACTGCCAGTGAAGTGAATAGATTTTAGTTATCTGATCTACAGATGCGTGTTGTCTAAAAAGAAACTAATACAACTCTTACCGATTGACTTCAAGTTAAATATTTTTGTCCACTATGTTTGTCCTAATCCTCTCTAGGTAACCTGGAATTGGCTGACAAAATAAAGGCTTTGGTTATCAGGGAGGTAGAATTTACTAAGCTTTAACCACTGTGAACTTCAAGTTGTTACATCCAAAATGCGTCACAACTCGCTGTGAAGGGCTTGAAAATAGTACAGAATAGAAGTACCGGTTTTGGCTGTAATTTTAGAGAGTAAACATGGACATTGAAATGAGGCCTCCGGAGGGAAGAAAAGACTTCCTTTAAAAACTTGCACTTAACACTTTTTTTTTTTTTCTATGGGAGTCTTGAAATTTATTTTAAACTACTGATTCATTGGAAGCAGCTGACAAACATGAGCAGGCCTAGATCTGCTCCTCAGTGCCTCGCAGAAGCTTTGGAGACCTTTTGGTCAGCAGTGCTATCCCGGCAAGAAACGTGAGCTAGAATAGGTCTGGCATTGGCTACAGAATCCGCCTAGAAATACTCCTTTTTTTTTCCCTGGTGGTGTCAGACAGGTGGTGATTCAGCTTCCAAAACAAGCTGCTGCTGGTTTGCAGTGCAAGTAGAATGAATGTGGAACTGCTCCCAGCAGAAAGAAACATTTCTGGGAAGCAAGCTGGAGTCTTTCCAAACCAATGTCCCATGGAAGACAAGAAGCATTATTAAAAGAGGCTTGAAGGCACAGTAGGGGAGAAGTGTCATATCTTGACAAGTGCAGCCTGTGGGTGTTGAGCATGGGAGAGAGGTTAAATCACCCTTTCAGATCGTATGTGGTATAATTCATCCTCTTGGGCTATTTATGTCCAATTATCTATTGACTGCCATAGGGATAAATACAGTTTTACGTTTTGTCTTGAAGACTGAACGCTCTAATGATAACCAAAAGGCTGGATTTCTGTCTAGGTTTGTGGCTAGAAAAATCTGCTTGAGTCAGTGTGGGATTTCTTGCAGCCCATGCATTTGTCCTCTTAGAAGTTGGTTTTCCTGAATCAGAATTCATAAAATCTCAAGCTTAAAGCCTCTTGCGTCTTGTCCCAACTTCATAAATGTTGAAGAATCGGGAGTTAGGAACCCTACTCTTAAAACCCAAATAAACCACTTTTCTACATACGTTGAGCCAACTTTTGGCTTTCCTCAATTACCTGATGCGAGGAGAGAGCTGATGTTTTTGGCTCCAAGACAGGTGAAAGTAAATCTGCCCTGCTTCCACAGAATATTTAATTTGAAAAACTTGCAGAGCTGAGTTTATGAAAGTTGAAAGCAGTTTTGTATTTTAAGACCAAATTCAGCACCTTTCGGGAGCTCTTGAGTGCCGTTATTTTCCTATTAGATAGTCTCTAAATAGAGTATTCATCCTCTCCCAGGAAGTACTTGCTGGCTTGGGTTTTAATTAAAACCTGGATTTCAGTCACGACAAACTACAGGATGCCAGGAAACGCTTTAAAATATTCTCTGAACATTGTGTCATGCTTAACAAAGATTTTTACCTTTTTGTAAATAAATAGGGACGTGTGCAGTAAGGATTATTCTTTTTTGTCTGTATGCCTACCAAGGGATTTTCTATAAATAAATGGAGGCTTTCATAATCTGTTAAATTCTTACCTCAAAGCCACAATTACTGGGGTCGGAAGAATGAAAAAGTATTAGATGCAATTTAGTAATTTTGTTTTTCTTTCCTCTGCTGGGGAATGTAAAGCTTGATTCCTGAGCAAGTTTGTGGGGTACCGTTCTACCACAGAGCATAGCTGTTGGGTATTATGTGATTAAGGACCCCCCAAATCCATCCTACGTCTGAGCGGTGTATGTGCAATGTACGGTTTCGATACAAAACAGTGTAAATCTGGGATTCAGGTCCTCAGCCTGCCTGTGGTAGTTTTCACTGTGCTAGTGATGTAAACTGGGTGTCTGAATTCCCTTTATTTTTTCAGGTAGTGAGTAAAAGTGGAACAAACTCTTGTCATGAAGAGCTTGTGTCTTGAGGTGGTGGGGTGATGGGTGGGATATAGCTGGTGAGCAGTGGTCAAGAGTCTAGTTGAATAGTTTGTTGTGCCTGCAGAAGGTAAGGGAGATTTTTTAGAGGAGACATTTGAAGAACAATAGCAACAAGTTCTCTGAATGCTTGCTAAGCCCTTCCCAGACTGAAGAGCAATCTCGGAGATCGCAGGTGATACCAATCTCCTTATCAAAAAATTAACGTTTGCATGGTAGACTGATGACATGTAACCAGAATTGGGAACTTACCTCTCGATGCTGAAGAGATGAAACGTGGTAGGTGCACAGAGGGAGAGAGGAAGGCACGAGGGGAGCCTGGAGAGTGCTGGAGTTAATACATCTTACAGAAATACTGCACTTGGCATATCTGGCCAGTGACCTAATGCGTCTTCTGTTTCTCTTCTTGCTTAACTCTCTGAAGAGAATGTAAACTATTATTTTGTTTTTCATCCAGTGCTTGGTTGTCCCATATCGTACCATTTAAACAATCTGCTTCTATTCCCTCTTCTTCTTAGAGGAAGCTCCAGAGATGCTGCCTGACCTAGTTTTAACTAAACGTGTACTAAAATGGTTGAATTTTACATGCACTGGCAACTTCCCTTTTGCTTAAATAAGGGGGAGGGATTCTATTCTTAATTAAATACACCACACTGGAGATTTATAGACAATTGGCATGACCTGGCAGGCAAACTGTGTAATTCTTGATTGATCTAGTAAAGAGTATTCTTTTTATTTTAGTGCTTACACATTTAGTTCATTAACAAGTTTAACAAACTAACTGACACGTATAGAAGATTTACTTAAAATTAAGGCTTTGGAGTAGCATACTGGGTTGAGTTAGGCTGAAATTACCTGTACTGAAAGTGATTTTGCTATACTGCAAGTATAAACGTTTCATACAGCAAAATTTTTGTTTTACAGATGGCTTATTCAATCAGTATATCAGTCAACAAGAATACAAACCTCGCTGGGGACAGATCATCCCCAAAAGCACCAAAGGTAAGGATATTTCTTAAGATACAACCCATGTACTGCCAGTTCTATCTTGTTCCTTTGAGGATATTGAGCAAGAAAATGACGCAAGAAAGCCTCCTCTAGGACTGTTGTTCTAGGGAATGGTTTCGTCTACGAAAAATTTGTCTGCGAAGTTAGTGAAATGCAGCTTGGTTTCTGTTTGAGTAAGGAACACTAGACGTAACTTCAAGGCTAGTTAATCAGTTCAGAAACAAATCTCAGAATACAGGTTAAGCATGAGAACAGTTACCTGTATGACCAAATTTAACTCTTGTACAGCTAAGAGTGGCAGATAAATACATTATCTTAATGGGGAGTATTTTAAATTTAAGATGCATCTTCTGAAGTCTTGGACTGTTACACAGTAAATCTAAACTGCAGAATCTTTTTCCATTGATATCTGCCTTGAAAGGAGGCTCATAGCAGCAGCTTTGACTGCAAAGTATAAAAATTACTGTCATACAGCAAATGTGGGGTTTGAGGTGATAGTTGCCAAACGTGGAGCACCATACCCAAACCTGTTGGGAAGGGTTACGTATGAATACAAGCAGATTTCTTTTCCAGCAGAATGCTTCCCATAGATGACACCTGTCCTGAATGCCTAAGATATCTAAAATGGTTGGAAAGCTGCTTTAATTGGGCAGTTGGAATCCCCTTATGTGAGAATAAGTAATTGTTGCACAATAGCTATGCTGTATCTATACCATTACCTCTTTGCTTCCATCCCATGGGTGCGCTGCCCTGTCGTCTGAGTGTTCGCACTGCTTGGCCTTCAGGCAGCAATCAGGTGGGGAGAGGTGGAAGGGGAGCAAAAGGTTGTCTGTGTCCTCACTGCTGGAAAGCTGCAAAGATAGCTCAGACCTCATTTGTGTGGACTGCCACGCTTCAGGAATTCTCAAGCTCCTTTCCAAGGCTCTCAGAAGTGCAGTAGAGTACTGTATTCACTGTAGCTATCTGTACTGTCAGTCACTAGATAATTCAATATAGAACTCTGTACAGTTTTATAATGCACAGAAGAATACTACCTGAAAGAAGTGTTCTGCTAATCTTTAAAGAACGGTGAGTTGCTAAGTTGCTCTGCTTCCCCATAGTATTTAGGCCATACGTGAGGTTGTATCTCTCTTTGGTTTAAAAATCTTAAAATGGTAAACTCTCCTCTCCCTCTTTTTAAAGGTGATGGGGAAGACAGCCGACCAGGGATGAGGGGTGGCCATCAGATGGTTATTGATGTTCAGACAGGTGAGTAGTTCCTAAATTTCTTATTCAGATATTTTTCAGACAAGTATGCAAATGTGCTGCTCTTCAGAGACTGTCTTAACTTGAGGTTTCGAGGTAAAAAATGCACTTTATAATAGTTGAATGAAATACTCTGCTTTTTCTTTGGAACTATACACTCTGCCTTTCCCACCCCCCTGTTAGTTCTCTGTTACGCCTTAGTTGTCGTCTTGTCTTAACTAAGAAACCAAGAACAATTGTTTTTAATTTTTGTCCCTCCTACCTTCTTTGAGCAGGAGCTTAAACAAGAGGAGGGAAATTATCATCCCTAATTTCTCTTATCTGCTACATGCTATGCTATTTGGAATAGTGCTTGAGGAATAGATCTGATGTGTTGGAACCTTCTTTGTATTTTGGTTGGAGTGGCTTCTAGTTTCCATAGTGTGCAAGAAACTCCTGTTAAATATAATTTGTTAGACATTTTTTACAAAGATGTTTCCAATAGCAGTTTAAAGAATGGTTCAGCCTCTGTTTCAAAGAGCCTGCAGAGAAAAGAAAGGGTGGGGGGTATAAGTAACAGTTCAGGTGACTGTTGTTCTCCATAATTTTCTCTATCTGTGTCTTGCTTTTATTTAATCAGATTTCTGTGGTACATAATTCCTTACTAAAAAAAAAGGAATGCATCTGCCTGCATCTTTGATAAGTAAATGATTTGTATAAGTAAAAGAATTGCTCTTAAGAAAGGAGAAACGAGATCAGGGTGCGACTGGCAGAGAGGAATATAGGGTGGCATTGAGGGAGTTGGCAAAAAAATTACTGTGGCCATATCCGTTGTGGTCATACGGACGGGACTGAAGCATGTGACAGGATAGTACCTTCAGGAGTAATCTGCTAAGTCATAGTGAACAAGCAAAAATGCAGCAGTAGCTGCAGTCTTTGGCGTTTACTCAGAGTGTAGTTACTGCTTTAGAGGAAACACTCGAGTTATTTTGTATATGAAAGCAAACTTTTTTTTTTTTTTTTTTGGTCGAAGAGGTTTGAGATTCATGAGAGTGAAGTGCTGCTGGAGGGTTGCTGGTGTTTGCCTGCAAAAGCAGCTGTGAACGCTCCCTAGTGGCCTCGGCGAATAAGTAGACGGGGACTGTTTCACAAGCGCACCAAGAACACGTGAGGCTTGTGAACTTGGAAATGACAGTCCTTTAAACCTTCTGAAAACAGTATAGTCATGGTAGTGTGAGTCTTTGTTTCCATTCTTGTTGGTTTTTGTTAAGTCCTACTAAGCTTATTATCTCTGCCTTTGACTTAAGTTTTCACTCTGCTTGAACAATGTGGTGAAAAGCATCGATATAGTTTCTTTTTACTTGCACGGAACTGGCTGGAGAACACCCACAGAGGTAGAAGCCTGGTGTGGGAGAGCTGGATCTCCCTCTTGTCATGCTAGTCCTTTCTTGCTGCAGCTCTAGCCAGTGGTGGTGGGATAACTTCAGAAAGTTTCTCTGTGGGATACTTGGGAAATTGCTTAGTTTTGCTTCCAGGCCCACTGAGGCTTGTAAAAGCCTAAATGTTTTGGAGATTATCAGTTCTGCTATTTAATTTGGCTCATGAATAGGCCAGGGGAAGTTCTTGGTGCTGTTATTCTTGAAACGAGCTGTTGCTGATCGCTTGAGTTTGCCTTTTGAATATAGGTAGTGTTTAATGAGACTGTGGGAATTTCGCCAGTTGTGTCAGGATGTGTTTTACAGACTGGAGCTGTAAAGCTCCCTGGCTAACCTTGAGCAAATCTAGTATTAATGGAGAAAGGAGCAGCAGCATACTCCTTCCTCCAAAGACATCTTCCATTCTCCCTTCCTTACCCACACACTTGTTGTTTTTTCAGAAGTCTTTGGCAACTGAAGAAAAATACGTTCACTTTGAACTCCTTGTTAGAGGGGTGAGATCCTTTGCAAGAAATAATATTCAACTTTAATCTTTTAGAAATGAGGTGAAACACCAAAATCATGCATATAAGCTGGTTTTGAAGTTTCATATCACCTAGAATAGGTGTTGGAAGCAAATTTTAATCTCTGATGTCCAGACCTGCTGTAGCTATAACTGGACTATAAATGGTTCTGCTTTTTTATTAACCTCAAGGAAATATTAACCAGTTGTTACTGACTACAAAATTATAAGTTTTATTTTTAATAAGCTTTGTAATAATACCAAGCCTGCTGGATGCACCTGTGTTAGTGCTAGGATAGAGGATACGGGTTAGTAAGCAGTTGAGGTAGATCTCAAGTTACTGATAGTGTGTTGCGTCACTGACACTCTGTTTATGCTCTAAGTTTCAGGTGGAATATAATTTAACTTGGTCTAAACTGCCTTTTAGCAGGTTTTATCTTCTGCTTAGGGTAGGCTGAAAGTAACTGAAAGAGCAGTTCTGGCATCTCTGCTGGCAGCCAGTAGCTTGTGCTGTAGCTCATTTCCATCTGATGTTCATGCTCTTAATACCTGCTGCAGCTGTCTTAGCATAAGTGTAGTGTTCTTTGTGCTTTGAAAAACTCTGAAAGCAGGTGGAATTGAAAGTGCAGGCATTTTGGGGTACAGAACAGAATGCAGCCTGATACCTTCCTATATTAAAAAAAAAAAAATTGTGATTCAGTGTCTTACATGCTTTCAACCATATTAGCACTCAGACTGGAACGACTCTGGATGGCACAATTAGCAAGTTGGTTTTGGTATGCATGTGCAGAAACATCAACTAAGAGGCAATCCTAGTTATAGTTGGAAACCACTGTTACATCCTTTAAAGCTTTAGACTGTAAATGAAAACAGAAGGTTAATGTTATTTCTGCTTTTTTCCTGCAAGGTGCATGTCTTTTATGTAGTTCTCCATTTGGGAGGCTGGAGAGTTTTCTGCCCTTTTCTACGTGGAAGTGTTTGGGTAGTTACAACCCAGGTGCATAGATTAAAATTAAAGTATCTTCAGAACACCAAAGTAAAAACAACTCCAGTGTTCTTGTGTGTTGTGTGCTTCGTGTCAGTCCTGAAATATTGCTATTTAGATAGGCCCTGGTGAAATATTTAAGCAGTAAAATGCAGGCCTGTATATATTACTGTGTTGCCAGATGCATTACGCCCTAATGCAGCTTTGGATGAGGACGTAGGCATCTAGCTCTGGTACCTTGATTCACCTACCTTTGATTATGCCTTTTTATAATGCAGATGAAATACCACTGTTTATTCTGGAAGAAAGTGGGAAGGGTTAAGTGGATTGCCAAATTTGAGTTTTAAGGTATAACATCACTACTTCAGAGGAATACGTGTACTGTGTTTTGGAGATTCGGTTTGTAATTCCATTGTTAAGGTAGAATTGGTCTCCTCTCCTCTTACAGGGCAGAGGCAGATTTATGTGAATGACTGTAGTCCATAAAGCCATGTAATTTATTTTGGTAACAGAATTATAGACTATATAGAAATCATTCTATCAAAAAAAAAAAATCTTTTGTGAAATATCCTGTTTGTTTAAACCTTCATATTTTATTTCATTTTGATAAAGCCTTCTGAAGTTTTCTGACGAGCCTGTTTTAGAAATAATAGCTAAGCAACCAGGATGATGTTTTTTGTCTGCATTTCTCTTTGGCAAGTGAAACATTTTTCTGAAGGAAAATATTAGTGAAATAGTCTTTATTGATGTGTTATCTCTGTTCGCGCACTGAAGTGAAGCTACTCTGTTATTTTGGTTGTACATTACTTTGCTTTTCCTTTGGTAGGAAGGAATTCTGCTTACTTCATTCTGTTAGATAAGTGAGAACAAACCTGTAGGTTGGGAACAGTGGGAGATTCAGAGCAGTGGGCACAGTGTGCCCATAGTATATGTGGGCAACACAGTAGAAGTGATGAGGCTGGTGCAAAAGCAGCGTGGAAAGATGAAGTGAGAGCAGCAGACATGAAGGATGCTGTTTTGCCTGAGGAAAACACTGCTATCCATAAGATATTTAAAGATGGGACTTGTGTACAAGATGAAGAGATCTCTGAAACAAAACACAGATGGCTTCTAAACTCTGAAACACAAACAGCTGCTGAATCCTGGAGGTTACTCAACTTTGTGGTGCATTCACATTTGAGAGGAAGATTGTATGCCTACCCAGGCCATCGCTAGCCTGAAAAAAAAATAGATCTGGCCACTATCTACGCTGAACTGCGCTTCAGAAACTGAGTGGTGTGATACTTCAAGAAAATTTAAGGTTGGCGTCATAATTGTGCTCCAAGTGCTCCTTTTACAAAGTAGACAAAGCTGCTTGCAGAGAATCAAATCTATTGTTACTACATAGGGAAGTGACATCCTTTCATAGAAGACTTTGGATATATGATACACCTAGATTTTTTATTTTACATCTGAGATGAGTCCCTCTTAGTACTAGGGACACTGATTCTCAAATACACCCTCAGCAAGTTTGGGGTGGTAGCTAGTTGGGAGGGCAGTGACTGATGACCTACAGAATAGGGCTGGGAGTCAAAGGGACCCTGAGGGGCTGCAGGGAGAACCTTGTGAGGTTCAGCCAAGACATGAAGAGCCCTGAACCTGGGATGTAACAGCTCTGTGCAGTGGTGTAGCTGGGGACTGACTGCATGGAAAGATTTGCAAGGTGGTAGACAGCTGAATGTGCGTCAGCAATGTGTCCTTGTATTGATGAAGGCCAACCCTCTGCTAGGCTGTATTAGCAGAAGTATGGTCAGCAGGTTAAGGGGAGGGTTAGTGTTCCTCTTTTGGGTACTTGAGGCCACATCTGGAGTACTGCGCCCAGTTTGGGCTGTCTGGTACAATAAGGATGGTGGCAGTCTGCAATTGAGCCCGGTGAGGGGCCACTGAGGTGGTCGGCAGCTGGAGCACAAGATGTATGAGGAGATGCTCAGGGAGCTGGTTTTGTTTAGAAGAAAGAAAAGGGCTCATGGGAGGATCTTAGAGCTGATGGGGGAGCGTGGAGAAAAGAGCCAGTCTCATTTTGGGGGGTATAGAGGGATTGGATGAGGTGCTATGGACACATTGCAGCAAGGGAAATTCCAGTTAAATAAGTTAGATTCTTAAAGAAAAAAAAAAAAAAAAGAAAAAAAAAAAAAGTAATGAAGGTGATCAGTCATTGGAGCAGGGTTCCAGACAGTCTGAAATGCTCATCTTTGGAGGTATTCAAAGTATAACTGAATGCTTCCCTCTGCAACCTGGTCTGTTGCTGAAATTTGGGAGATGGCTGAAGGACAGGATGACTTGCAGAGGTGTTTTAGGTCCATAACTCTTTTGTATTCTACAGAGAACTGTCCTAGCAAGAGACATGGAAATACCATTTGACCAAAGTATTTAATTAAATGTGTCACCAGGTTTGGAATGTATTCTTTGTGCCTGTCTGTTAGAAGTTAAAACCAGGGATGCTCAGGCATGCCAAGCATCTTTTATCAGCCTGGCTTTAACAATTTGCCAGGTAGAGTCCTGATCAGATGAGGAAGATCCATTGTATGAGAATCCTACCAAGGATTTTGCAACACAGAGAACATGGAGTAAAAAGAAGTTAAAAGAGCTGACTTGGAGAACATATGTGAACCTCAACTGAAACTATCCCAGGATTTTTGATATTTAACAGGGATTGGAGAAGGCTGCTTTGCATACTCCTCTGAAAAATGGAACTTAAGGAGAGGTTGACAGGCAATATGTTAATTTTTGTGAACATACGTTCTCTAATAATTTGAGGAGTGTGCTTGAGCCTTCTAGTCTTCCAGAGAGTACGGGAAGAAAAGAACTCAGACATTATAGAAATATTTTTGACTAAGCAAGCAGTTCAGAAATATTCACAGAACATATTTAATTCAAAGTGTTGAATTTGTATTCAAAAATAAACGTAGAGGAGATAAGGTTAAGATGCTGGAGGAGAAGTTTGACTTCCTAAATGTAGCTGGTAAAAGCTTTAGATAAATATAACCGCTTTCATGTTTTTCTTGTTGCCTTGCAGGTAGGTTTGAAAATTCTTCTGCTCTGTCCCTAAGGCAGAATAGAGGCTTGCTTTAATAAAGCAGCATCAATATTGTCCCGTTACATATTGCTCAGATACAAAGGAAGAATCCTTCGCTGTGCCAGAGCAAGATGCCCTGCTTGCAGCTTGAGTTCCCTAGTGTCACTAAAGTAGAAATAGTTATATTGATGTGAGACTGCTGTGCTCCCTTCAAGCTTCCCCACTCCTGCTGCCTGGAAGTTTGTGATCTCTTCCCTGTGTCTGTCTGCTTCTTTGAGTATTTGCTGATAACGTTGTTTAGATGGCAATGACTGAGTGTTAGGCATGCATGCTGGGTCTGTCCTGGCTGGGTCTCTGCAAGCAGGGTGAAAAAATAACCCTCCCCACAAAATCTGAATTTTGTAGAAGGTGTGATACTGGTGGGGGAACAGACTGAAGTATGACTTGGAGAAAAAAAATATTAAAAAAAAAAACCCCAAACCCCGACCCGCACAACCCAAAAAAGCAACTAACCAAAAAACCCCACCAAACAACTAATTTTTCCTTATACCATGGGAGAACAATTGCAAACTTTAGAAGAACTATGAGAAATTATTTTCTTGAGATTACCAGCAACAGATGCGTTTATGCATTGAGACATGTTTCTTTTAAAATACAGAAATTTCTTATAAAAATATGTATATAGTTCCATAATGTCATAAGACTAAAAAATGACAGACATTCTGAGTCTAGATCGTGATGGAGCCTTTCTTTCATTCGAGCTACAGTTTACCATCAAGATGAAAAATAAGTTTTTGCTACACTGTTCGTGTGCACTTCTGTTATCACTGGGGGATGCTCGCAGTTCGCACTAGCTGTACGATTGTACTCCTCTTTCAGTGCTTACATGCCATTTAGTTCTGACAGCTTGATTTAGGTAACTTTCAAAATCTGAGTTTTCATCAGATTCATTCAGGTTTGCTATTAAATTTCATCTGAGACAACAAAGCCTTTACAGGCAGGCATGACGTTTTGGCAAGGCCCCAATAGGATACTTAGCTGGTGCCAAATCTTTTATTTTTCTCGGCTATCAATGAAGCTGTTGTGGTAATGTGGGTTTTGTGAGCTGTGAGAATTTATGTGCACAAAGGGACCTGCTCTTTGCAGGGAACACTGGGAGCCCTGAGTCCAGGAGGAAGGGTAATTAAAGTTAATGAACCAGGGTAACCTTTCCATGGTGATGACCACTATCCTGATGGTAGGTAAGGGTCAGGGACTAGTCCCATTTTATAATCGTGCTTCTAACCCTGCTCTTTAATTGGTGTTGGATTAAAAATTGGCTATTACCTCCATAATAGAACTGGTTTGCGGGTTTTAAAGGGGTTTTTCAAAGCTCTGCAAGTCTTCAGTGGCTTGTTCTTCTTGGGTTTGGCTTCGTGTTGTGTTCTAATGCAGTCTAAAAAATGAAGTATTTTTAGCATTTGAGACCAGATAGTGATGTTTCTATAATGGGAGCAGCTTAGTTACTTCTCCATGTCAGAATAGAGACTTCTGTCTTAAATGCTTCCCATGTTCAGAGGCTTCATCTAGTTTTATCAGTGAGTCTGAGAAGCCTTTGAACTTGCTGTGCACAGACCAGTTGTGGGTCTGAAGTGACAAGCTCTGCAGATAGGCCTGAAACACTGACTTAAACCTGTAACTCTTATACTTACTTTTGTGGCGTCAGGTAAGTTACTTTATGTAAGGCATTTCCCTTGAAGAGGATTTCATCGCTGAAGTAAATTTGTCTTTCTAGGGGATGGACTAAACAACAAAAAAGCTTTGCTGCTGCTGTCTCACAAGTCTAATACATAGATCTTGCACCAAACAGGGTACAGTCTGAGATGTCATTGATAGACTAAAATGCACACTATCCAAAATGTTAAATATTGTTCATTTGTCTGTCTTGAATTTTAATCAGAAGGCTGTGGATTTGATTGCCTCTTATGCAAATGTAGAAATAGAAAATGATTCCTTGAGAATTGGCTGTCTATCAATCCTAAAAACTTCCATTACTAAACCAAACCACATTTCTTTGTCTTGATGACTGGTTCCACTCAAAGACGAGTATTTCTTTAAGTAAGAATCAGCTTAAATTTCTCTTATGATAGTCTGTGTGTTTGTCACGGGTGTTTTCTAGGCGTTAGCTTGTTTAAATGCGTTCTTCTTTTAAAATAATAATTAACATGTTCTTCCATTATTTTTTTTTTAACAGAAACTGTTTATTTGTTTGGTGGCTGGGATGGAACTCAGGATTTGGCTGACTTCTGGGCCTACAGTGTGAAGGAAAACCAGTGGACTTGCATATCCAGGGATACCGAGAAAGAGGCAAGTTCTGCAAACATCTGTATTGTTACTAAAACATCACTTGTTGCACAAAACATGCCATTCTTTTGAAGTTCTTGTATTGCTATATAGCAGGCAGCGAGAGCCACAAAATTCAGACCTTCAGGTTACAAAGACTTGTGAAATGCTTACATTGGGGAAAAATGTAGATGGATGTGAATATGAAGTGTTAAGGTTGCTGGAGGAGAAAGGTTTATTTCTCAAGAGCAGAGTAATCAGTTAAAAATCTGTTCAGTGAGTAGAATATGAGTTAAGTAATTTGATAAGACTGAGCAACTAGACTTGTTAATAAACTTTTCAGACCCGATGCTGGTGTTAGAGCTTCGGAAACAAATTGTTTATTTTTTTAGCTTTTGTCAAAAATGAGTAGAAATGGACAACTCGCAGACAGAAATCTAGAGGACAGGGGTAATTGCCAGAGGCCACAGAATCCCAGGAGCTTTTGTGGTATTCATTTGAGCCATTTTCCTTGGCGTGTTTTGCTCAGTATTTGACGTATGAAACCTCTGAAATGGATGTCGCTTGGGTTATAGGAGGTAACAAAAAAAGTCCAAGACCTTTGGATTGTGTAATTGCATGAATACTGTGAAATGTTCAAGTTCCGTGTGGTTAGTATGTTTTGAATTCGTTATTTGTTTGTCAGACGTAACTTCAGGGAATTCATTCAACCTGTTCTTGACGGTATGAAGAGTTTGAGATTCCACCACTTTTTGACAAATTCAGGAGTTGATTTCCTCAACTATTTGAAAAAAAAGTATAAAACAGTCTTATTTCTCATTTGTATTTTTCCAGTTTCTTGTCCTAGCTTGTTTTGTGAGCTTCCGTACCAGATTAAAGAACACTTTAATACTCCCATTTTTTCCTGGCAAAGGTGTTTAGAGGTTGTAATCAAGTAGGACAAATAGCCTGAGCTGAAAAAAAAAAAAAATCTCACAGCAAGGCACTTCCCGTAGCCTTCAAATCTCTGTGTCATGCACTTACTGCTTCTAACATCCTTTACAAAATGGACAATAATAAACTCAACGTGATATTCTGGTTTCTATCCTAATAGAGCTGTATAAGGGTAAAGTTGCCCTTACATTTTATATCCTTCTAAGTTGCTTTTTTTCACACATGGTCCTTTCACCACTGCTCGTGGCTACTTGTATTTTTACTCATAGGATGCTGAAGACAGATTTAGTTTTCCAGGATCCAGTCCTGTAGGCTGGGCTTATGTTGCTTCTGTTTGTCTTGAACTATGGGTGTTACTGTTTTTCTCACTGTTTACCAGACAGGTTACCTCCTTAAGATAAGGAGGGGTGTGTGTGTGTGTGATGACATAATACTAAGGGGAAATTGGGAGTCATCTCTTTTATCAACTATATGGTAAAGATAAGCAGCTAGACTTTCCTTTTCTTTTGTCTCCCTTTAAAAGCACTTTTCTTGCTTTAGAGCCACTTAGTGTGTATATTTATTTGTCTAGCTCAGGATGCAGTAAAATAGGGCCTTTCTGTCAAAAAGGGGTTACCGTGTTTTCTTCCTGCACAAACCAGTGTGTGTAGTTCTAGCGTTTAAGGGATTAATTTCCTTTCTTGCTGGGATTCTGCAGCATCCAGTTGAGCTTCTGTGAAGCTTGGGAGGCCTGGCTGGGATGCAAGGCATCAGCAGTGCCAGGAGCAGTGTGTGTTTTCTCTTCATGTTCCTCATGACTGACTCTAGCAGGGTAAGGCCGGGATGGGATATGGAAAGGAGGGCTGTGGAGGAGACACAGCAGAAGAGTTGTGAGTTGATACAATAATGAGGCTATAAAAGGATTTTGGAGGATAAAACGTTACAGGGTGCAGTGCAAGGTCAGAAAATTCAGATGGAAGATGGGAAGGGTCTTGTGCTGAGAGGAAGTAAGATTGGGGAATTTTCTTAAAAAAAAAAAATAGGTTGAATGTATGAGGAGTTTTGAAGAAGAGACATACTTAATAGAGAAGTATGAAGAAGTGTGTGTGTGTGTGTGTGTGTGTGTGTTGCTTTAGAAATGGAGTTGTAGAAGGACTCTCTGTGTGGCTGTAGTCTGCAGTGGAGTTCAGAAGAGGACCTGCCGAGGCATAGTTCAGGGTTTTGGTGATGTCCTGAGGTACACTGAATTGGCAGCTGCTGTACTTGCAAACTAGCAGTGTGGGTTGTTTTGGGTTGGTTTGTTGTTTTTTGTTTTTTTTTTTTTCCTCTGAAGAGATCTGGATAAAACCTGATTTAGAAATGAAAAGGTCAATCTCAAATGTTGAGAAGTACATTCAAAAACAAAGACTCCAGATGTTTCTCTAAAAGACATCAACTGTTCACAAACAATTTGCTAAAAGGAAATGTCTGTTGACACGGAATTTTAAAAAATATTCAAAGTAGATACCAGTAGAACTCAGTCTCTTTTTTTGTTTTGTATTGTGCCGGTTCTGCTTTTAGCTCTTTTGTTCTGATTAATCAGTGACAGTGGTTAAATTAACCGCTCAATAATTTAGCTTGGACAAGGGTGGAATACGGTAAAAGTTGCATCTTATCCAGTGTTATTGTAGGGGTAACACACAGTAATGCTTTTGGGATAAAGGTACTGGTAGCTTCTGTTGCAATGCATTATGAAAAGATTGAGCTTTTTAGTGAACTCCAGTGCTGCTGTTTTTCAAAATTTGCCAGTGAGCTGAAGAAATGTCTCTTTGCCACCTGAAATTGCGTTTGTGATTTTGAACAGTTAGACTATCAAAGCTTAACTTTCCATAGCCCTTTTTATGTCAGGAAAAAATGTCTACAGCGCTGCCGGAGTAGCTGATCACTTACAGTCTTGAAAAGGGGGGTCTAGAGGACCTGCTTGCCCTGTTGGGCTGAACCTCCAGTGTAGGTACCACAGCTGCTGATGGACAAACAGACCTAACTTAGAACATCCCCACCATCCCTTCAGTGTATGGATCCAACAAGGCTCCCACAGCCCGTCTCAAACCATCCTCCTCCCAGCCTGCTTCCTTCCAAGGAGATGCACCATGGAGCAGCTCATGACCTCTCAACTGTACCCACAACTTCTGTCCTTCTGTCTCCTCTGAAGTATCCAACAGCTCTAGGGATCAGCTGGCACTAGGCACAGCCAAAACATGTTTAGTCTAAAAGCCTTTACAGATTTTTACACTGAACCAAGTGGAATATTCTGACAAATGCAATTGTCTCCAGTGTTTATTAATGGCTGTAGAGCAGTAGACCTTTCCAGGATTTGGGAATAAATAGTTTTGAAAAAACAAACCTTGTCATTCCTTGGGCATTTTGATCCTAGGCCAGTGTCAATTAATAGAGAAACGTAATGTGTGTGTGTGTATGTTTTGATGTCTAATATTTCTAGTTTCCAAGCAGCAGCTTTCTTTTTTGAGGGCTAATTTAGTAAAATTAAGTATAGGAGGGCAGTTTAAGAGAACTGTAGGAAAGACTTTGCTTGGTGTAGTTATGTGGATTTTTAAATAGCATCGAAATGCTGAGGGAGGTTGATGCCTCTGGAGATTTGATAAATGAGAAGAAAGAAGCGTGATGGTTGGCATATTTTGTATGTCACTAGTATTTCTGTACCTTGTTTCGGTATTTCCTAGAAACATGAGAAGAGATACAGGATCTCCCTTCAAACTGTGTTACTGCACAAATTGGTAGCTTCTGTGGCACATGTTTGTAAATATGCTGTGCTGACTCATTCTCATTCTGGCTTTTTTAGAGGAAAATCCTGTTTACAAATCAGCTCTGGGAAGGACGTGAAACTTGTGTAAATGGGCTAGGTTTAGGTGACACTGTGTTTTCTCAAACTTTTGAAGCATTTCTTGCCAAAGGTAGAAGTGAAGGTATTGTCGTGGGTTAACTGGTTGAGAGGATAAGTCATTTCTCACAGTGAAGGAAAGTGTAAGTCAACAAGCTTCTACTGTTCGGTAGGTTCAAAATGATCTAGAAAAATCATTGTATTGTAAGGTGACAGTTTTCTGCTTAAGACCAAGTGCTTTTCCACGATATTGAAAGTAAAAGCTGACAAGTGTAGAAAGATCTCATAATAGTGAGAACCAGGGTGAATTTCATCTGCTACTGTATTTCCAGTTAAATTTTTCTGCAGTGCCTGCATGCATGTCTTTGTTTGTTGACATGGATGAATTTATCCAAAGCTTTTCAATGTCATGTTACCACACAAGTGTTTTATGCATTTGTAAGCGTTTGTGACACCTATGACTGTTGGGTTTTTTTGGATGTGATGCAGAAATATGCTTATCTATGTAAAGCTTTTACCCTATGCTGTTTCAAGTGTAGGAACTGAACTAGTCTCAAATATTGACTCCTCCTCACAGATGGTGATATAGTTTGGAAGACGCTTTAAGTAACTTGAGGGTTTTTTGTTTCAAATACTGTGATGTTTATGGACTTGAGATCTAATATGCTGAATCTGCCATGTCCTACTTCTGAGTAGTTTTGGTTGTACAGATGCTCGGTTGTACGAGATGCCTGGTGCCACAAAAGCACATAGGGAGAAAGCAGCTGTCCCCAAAAGCCTCCAGTAGAAACTTGGATACTGCAGATACACCTCTGAGCCAACTTCCTAAATAGTGTAAATGCCTACAAAAGTAGGGACAAAGGCGGCAGATGCTGAAGTGAACCAAATGAAAAGTATTCTAGGCTGATCCTAAATATTGCATGCTAATGTTTTATTTTCCTTCCTGCTCAGTAGCATAGTGGTTTTAAAACGTTCTAGCCAGTATTCTTTCTCCAAAACGTTAAAGACTTTCAGATATGCCTGACTAACTTCTCCAATGATTTTCACCTAGGCAGCCTAAAACAAAAAGACCCTGTTGAGGGAGGAGTACCTCTTCTTCTATTTATCTAGTTATTTATTTATTTAATATAAACTTTAAAAAAAAAAAACCTTTTTAGCTTTTAAAGGTAAATTCTTATTTGCTTATACTACCTTGTGTGCCTAAGGAGCTCTGTCCTCTTAACCATTGTTTGTT